TAGATAGACCTACCTGTGAATTTGAGCGGTTTCATTTCCTAAATCTATTTTGATCTCTCTTCATTCACTGGGAGGAGACTGCCATACCTGTGTGGCTACCTCACCATCTTCCATCACTGCAGCAGCTTTCCAAGGGCCATGAGAAGCTGGGTTCCCTCCACCTGATGAGGAACCCCTTGACCTCAACTGATCCATTTGCCTGCAAGGCTTCGAGGACCATCCTCCTGCAGGGTAGGGAGCAGAGATGTGCAGAGTCCTAGTGAGCCGCTTCAGAAGATTGCAGCTGGGCTTGGCAGGGGACCCCCGGGCTTCCCCCAGCACAGGCCCATCAGCTGTAACAGCTGCAGTAGGCAAAAGCCCTGGTTCCTCTTCCCAGAAAGATGTGTCAGAGGGCAAGCGAGCCTTTGCTTCACTCTGTGCAGTGAGCACAACTCCTTTTCAAGTTATCACATGACATTGGAAAATCACCTGCAAACCTAAATTCAGTGAGTGCCTACAGACTACGCACTTAACAGCTCAGAAGATGATTCAGCGGAAGCAATTTCCCCAAGTGAAGATAATCATCTGTTAGTGTGAAAAGGCAGACTCTTTCATTAGCATTGGGAGCTCAGGGGAAGTGGTGCTAAATCCATAGAGACAGCACTTCAGTAAGTGGCTAGAACAATATCCACAGCTGGAAGGAAGGGCTGGCCGAGCTTCTACCCTCACGAAGAAGAGCTCCCACGCACAACACAGCCTCCTGGAGGGAAGGTAGAAGCTCAGCTCTGGCCTCTTCCTGTTTCCTTGATCAGAAACTCCACAAAGTCCTGGGTTACTGTGCTACACGGGGAAATCTAGAATTCAGATTCACTGATCTTTTGGTCCTGCAGCTTGAACTCAGGGCCTGGGTGCTGTCTCTGAGCTTTTGTGCTCAAAACTAGTGCTTTACCACTTGAGCCACAGCTCTATGTCTGGCTTTTTGGAGATGAGTCCCTTTTTCTGCTTAGGGTTGGCTTTGAACTTTGATCTTCAGACCTCAGCCACCTGCGTAGCAAGGATTACATTCATGAGGCACAGGCAACCAGCTTCTCTGGTCTTTTATCTACAACAATCCTACAGTACCAAACCCCCATTCATATAACCTACACACTCATGACGAAGTTTACATTATAAATTAAGAGCTTAACAACACGAACTAATAGTAAAATAGAACAATTATATTAATAAAACTTATTTTAAAACTATTCATGATTTCCGGAATTTTCCTTTTGATATTTGGGGGTCTGGGGGATGTGAAGAGAGAACTACTGTGTTTTTCTCAGGTAACCTTAACCTGGGGGAAAGTGCCATAACTTTATTTTGTGACATTGAAAATTATATTTCAGCCCTGATCTCTCTGGAGAATTCACATAACCACTCGGCCATCTTCTAGCTCCATTCCACTGAAATGTCTCGTACATTCCTCAGACCTAGAATGGTCAAAATAGACCTCAGTCTTCAGAGTCCCATGGCTTCCTAAGAAATCTAGAAATTTGGGTCTGGGAAGGTGGCTCAGTGGTAGAGCGCTTGCCTTGCATGCATGAGGCCCTGGGTTCGATTCCTCAGCACCACTAAGCAAAAAGAAAAAAGCTGGAAGTGGCGCTGTGGCTCAAGTGGTAGAGTGCTAGCCTTGAGAAGAAGAGCTGAGGAACAGCGCCCAGGCCCAGAGTTCAGGCCCCACGACCTAGAAATCTAGAAATGTAAAACAATGATAATCACTGGTTTTGTTCACAGATTAATTTCTGTGTGGCTCCATGAGGACTGCGCCACAAAACAGTAAGACTAGGGCATGGAGAGTCCATTTCTAAGACTGCTCACTCAAATAGCTGACAAGTTTTGCTGGTCATCTTCCAGACATTCAATGTGGCCTGTGAGTAGGGGCAAAGTTCCTCTCCATAGGCTGCTGTTGCTTCTTCTAGGCATGGTGTCTGCATTGCAGTGGGAGCATCGCAAGTAGGTGAAGTAGACTATATGGCTGGTATCTTAAGTCCTGGGTCTACAGCAACAAAGGATTCCTTCTGCTGTATGTTCTCCATCAAGCAGTTACAAAGCCCAGACATGGGGACAGCAGCCACAGTCTCTAGCTCTCCTTGGAAGGAAATTTTTAAAAATGTGAGGTTTTGTTTTAAAATTGGCACACATCAAGCTGGGAATATGATTTAGTGGTAGAGTGCTTGCCTAGCATGCATGAAGCCCTGGGTTCAATTCCTCAGCACCACATACACAGAAAAAGCCAGAAGTGGTGCTGTGGCTCAAGTGGTAGCCTTGAGCAAAAGCAGCTCAGAGACAGTGCCCAGGCCCTGAGTTCAAACCCCAGGAGGCAAAAAAAAAAAGGGCACAAATCCTAAATCTGTTCCTGTTCTGTCTACCAGTTGCTTAAGCAACTAGGAGTCATCTCTGACTGCCATCTTTCCCTCTCTCTCTCCATCCAATCCTTGTCAGAAACTTCTGCTGCAGGTCCAGAATCCTTCTACTTCTTTCATCTTAATTACTGTCACCCAAATCCAGATAGCACCATCTGCTCCCTATACCCAAACCCCAGGATGAGGTTTGGGTCTGTGTCAATAACTTGCTCCTTGCTTGGTCTCCAAGTCTGTTTAAACCTATCTAAAACCTCACATGTATTGGAATTAAACCCCAGCACCTCTTGTGGATCCCCAAACCAATGGAATCTTTCCTGTGTGGCTTTCTGGGAGCATCTGGTGCTACCTGCCTTCTGACTGGACTACAATGCACACACAGCCTCAGCACTGTGCTTCCCTCCCCTCCTCTGGAATGTCCTTCCTCCAATTCCCCCAGGTTGCTTCTTTCTTGCTATGTAATTTTCAGTTGAAATGTCACTTCCCATAGAACTCATCTATATCCCCTAAACTAACCATGCAGCCAGTGGGTTTTAATTTTCAACAAAACATTTACCATTAGCTAATCTTTTCTTCCTTCTTTCCTTCTTTTCCTTCTTTCTTCCCTCCCTCCCTCCCTTCCTTCCTTCTTTTCTTTTTTGCCAGTCCTGGGGCTTGAACTCAGGTCCTGGGCATTGTCCCTGAGCTTCTTTTGCTCAAGGCTAGCACTCTACCATTTGAGCCACAGCGCCACCTCCGACTTTTTCTGTGTATGTGGGTACTAAAGAATTGAACTCAGGGCTTCATGCATACTAGGCAAGCACTCCACCATTACGCCATATTCCCAGCCCTAGTCAATCCTTTTTATATTGATTGAGTTACTCACGGTCTGTCTTCCTTCTGAAAAGTGTCATGAGGGCAGCCACCCTGTCTTATCCCTGCGTACCTAGGGCCTAGAACAGGGCCTGGCACAGTGGGTATTCAATGGAGATTTATTAATTTAGTAAGGAACAACAGTGGCCACAGCCAACCAGTCTTCCAGAGGGACCATTTCTTAAGGTGCTGGATAGACAGAAAGAGGAAGCTGGTCTCAGAGACTCAAGCTTGTACCAGGACACAGCTCTGGGGCATGGGCTATTCCTGGAGGAGGCTACTTCAGGACTATACCTATTCCCTTCAACTCTCCGTATGCCACCCCCCAGCCTTCTGTGGAATCAGCAATACAGAACCATGGGCCTGGTGTTATTAGTATGCTTAGATAGGATGACACAGCCCAGTCCACATCATCTCCACAGTAGTCCAAAGACTAAATCAGATTTTGTTACATTGGAATTTTCATATTACCAAGAGACTCAGAAAAACAGGCCAAGTTTCAGGATAACAAATTCCAAGTCCTTGTTTTAATGATTTTTTAAAAAATGATGTTCACACTCTTGGAACCTGAAAATAGGCATTTAGGACCCATACAAATAAAGAAGAAAAATTTTGTTAGGGCTTTAAGAACTCAATGTTATTAATAGATTAAAAACAACAACATTGAGGTGAAAAGCAAGTTCAATAATAATAATAATGAAATAGTCTTTTTAAAAAAATACTTGTTAGACTTCTTTTTAGTACTTTGGTATAGAGAATTGGGTACACAATTAACAAAATACAAAATAACCAAACCCATGTCTGTGTTCAGTCAGCCTGCTATTAGGGACATGGCATTTATTTGAAGGGATTCTTTTATCATTCATTGTTATGAGATTTAAACTTTTTTTTTGTATGTATGTGCTGGTACTAGGACTTAAACTCAGGGCCTAGTGCTCTCACTTAGCTTTTTCTCTCAAGGCTAGTACTCTACCACTTGAGTCATACCAGCACATTTGGCCCTTTGCTGGATTTGGCATGGATTTGTCTGCTCAGGCTATTTGGAACTTCCATTCTCAGATCTCAGCCTCCTGAGTCGCTGGGATTACAGTCATGAGCCACTGACACCCAGTAAGATTTAAATGTTTAAAAACTCATTGATAGTAAAAACTCAAATTCATGCAAGAAGGAAAGATCAAGAGGTCCCACTGTGCCAAGCAGTCATGGCTACATGGCAGAGGCCTGTATGTGGCTGCTTCCCATACAGGTGCCACCATCAGAGTATGAAGGGACTCTGAGCAAGGCTACCCACATCTTGGGAACAGTCAGCTCTGTCCTTGGAAGTGGGGAAGGAAGGCACACACAAGAATCTCACCTTACTAGTCCCACCAGGACTTTGGCTTACCCTGGGGCGAGAGCTTCTTGGTAGTAGTAGGCATCTTGGCAATACTGACTCAGACTAGGTAAAATTCTTTTCCATTGGTGGATGGGGGATCAGCTCTGTACCCTGGGAGGTTAGGAACTGGTGACAAGGAAGATGGGCAGCATGTGGACATTATTATGTCTTCAGAAGGGCTTCGCTTTTAATCTAACTTCTAATTCTTTCTGTTCTCAGTAATTTTTTTTAAAGAGTCACTGCTTAAAACTCAAGCTCACTGCTTAAACTCAAACTGACATCACCCAAGTTGGAAAGGCTGTGGGGAAAGTCCTCCAGGTTACAGGGTGGGTGAATGATGCCTGGAGGGTCTCCTCCCCACCTCCCCCTTCTGCCTTCAGACAAGCAGCTCGGTGACCTCCTTTCCCCTGCAGGCTGCTGGAGGAGGTGCGGGAACAGGAAGGATGGGCAGATGGCTGAGTCTCACCTACACTGACTGAGGTCCAGCTCAGCCAGCCAGAACTGTAGCCAACACATCTGTCCAAAGCATCTGAGAAGCCAGAGCCACTCAAAGCCCTTCTCAGTCTGTATCCACAAGGCTGGGAAAGAAAAACCAAGTTCTGTTTACCAAAATATCTGTATTATCTATAAAAACTGAACTCGGAAGAGTCACCAATTCTGCAGGCGGCAATATCCAACCGTGCTGGTGTGCAGAAGGCGGACAGCTCCAGCCCACTGAGCACACAGCAAAACATTCATACAGAGTGGCACACGGGCACAGTCATTTGTAAGGCCTCAAAAACCTGGACACTTTGGAACGTAGCAGTCGGATGAAAGATCTTGGAAACATCTCTCGGGACTCCTGGGCTGTATATTTGAAATAGTTTTGGGGATGGGCCAGGACATCAAACAGAGCCTTGATCAGTTTCTTATCCTAAAGAAAACAGAACTTTGTTACCAGGCCAAAATATTTAAACATTCTGACATCGTGCCAATGGAGCAATAATGATAATAATGACCTAGTATTAGGCAGGAGGTTGACTAGCTGAAAAACACTGGGGTGAAAATTATTTCCTCTGATTTTTATCTTCTTTTCAGTTTTTCATTTTTCCTAATTATCTATAAAAGGTATGCATTATAAAAAGAGAATTTAATATAAAAAAACTAGGTTCTTAACCAGTAGAGATAGCTGCAGAAAAGGACTTGGAGAATATTAAAAGGACTTATAGTAATTTAAAATTTGGTAGACTTTGAGCTTCAAAGATAAACAAGGAAGCAAAGGACCAAATGTCTTTTACTATTTAGCATTTATTAATGTTCATTATTAGTATATAAAATATTATATGTCCCTGGCTTAGATTTTGGGGTTTTTTGGTGCCAGTACTGGGGTTTGAACTCAGGGCCTCTCAATCTCCCTTAGCTTTTCCCGCTCAAGGCTGTCTCTCTATCATCTGATCCACACCTCTACATCCAGTCTTTGGCTGGAAGAGTTTGGAGATAAGAGTTTCATCGACTTTTCTGTACAAGCTGGCTTTGAACCATGATCCTTAGATCTCAGCCTCCTAAGTAGCTAAGATTACAGGAGTGACCCATTAGTGTCTGTTCCTGGTTTGGAGTTATAAGCAAGTCCCTCCTCCAACCCTGTCCTTCCACAAACTTCCTTACTGGAAATCACAAATTCACTTGAGACATTAAGGACAGAAACTTCATTTTTCTTTTTCTTTCTTTTTTTCTTTTTTGTTGGTCATGGAGCTTGAACTCAGGGTCTGGGCACTGTCCCTGAGCTCTTTTGCTCAAGGCTAGCACTCTACCACTTTGGGCCACAGTTTTCTGGTGGTTAATTAGAAATGAGTCTCATAGACTTTCCTGCCCAGGCTGGCTTTGAACTATGATCCTCAGATCTCAGCCTCCTGAGTAGCTAGGATTATAGATGTGAGCCACTAGTGCCTGATGATTTTCTTTCATAAAAATTAAGTCTGGGGAAGAGGCGAAGCTGACTCTGGCTTGAGACAGGTTCAGTGACTGAAAAGTGGCCCTAAGGAGCAGGTGGAGAACCTGCACCTGAGGCAAGTGCTCACCTTAAGTATTTCTTGGTGGTTCTCAGATGCATAGAGCCTTCCATCTCGAACTATGTCTTCAATGAGTTCCTGGTAGTCTTCTGTTGGAATAATGCACATGTGATATAAATCTCATGGCTTATTTCCAAACTGACTCATTTTTGATAAGCTTCTGAAAAGGACTCATTCTGTGGCTGTTTCAAAACACTCTTAATCAGCAGAGAACTTCACATACTTCTCAGCCCAATGTGCACCCAACTCTGTCTCCTAGTTCACAAGTGCTCTCTGTGGGTCCCATCAAGGTCCATCCCTCTACTGGGCACGCCAGATCCATCTGCTCTTTCCAGATCAAGGGCGAAAGTGCAGATGTGTCTTCCTTCCATAGCATTTTGTCTCTGATGAGCATGTAAATATAAAGTCATGACTCTGATCATTAAAAAAAAAAGTCTCCCACCCACTGTGACTTGATCTCTCCTGCCAGTTTCCATTCTATTTCTTTGCAAAATTTTGTAACAAAAGTTTTGAGTTTTATAGAAAACTCAAAAGAATAGTCAACACTACTTAAGTCTCCAATTCTTTATTTCATTTCTTCCTAAACCGAGTCTAATCATCTTTGGCCACCATCCCTCCTCCAAAACTACTTTTTGTTGCTAGGATTAAAGTCAACTCTCTCTCTCCTGTCTGTCTCTCTGTCTCTCTCTCTCTCTTTTCTTTTTTTTGTATTGGTCATGGGGTTTGAACTCTGGGCTTGGGCGCTGTCCCTGTGCTCTTCAGCTCAAGGCAAGCTCTCTACCACTTGAGCCACAGTTCCACTGCTGTCTGTCTGTCTGTCTGTCTGTCTCTCTCTCTCTCTCTTTGTGCTCATCCTGGGGCTTGAACTAAGGGCCTGAGTGCTGTTCCTGAGCTTTTTAGCTAACACTCTACCATTTGAGCAACAGTTCCATTTTCAGCTTTTTGGTGGTTCAATGGAGATAAGAGTCTCAAGACTTTCCTGCCAGCACTGGCTTCAAACTTTGATCCTCAGTTCTCAGACTCCTGAGTAGCTAGGATTACAAGTGTGAGATGCTCAGTAGAGTCAACTGTTGGTTCTCATCCTCCTAGACCCTCCTGTTCTCAGCTTCCAGGACATTGTGCCCTTTTTCTCCTATCTCACTGAATGCTCCATCTAAGTCTGCTTAGCTTCCTCTCCCTTACCTTTTACTGAGAGGAAAGCTACTTTTACAGAGCAGGGGCCTACGGCTCTATCCAGCTCTGCTCTGTTCCCTTGTGAGCTCTCCCAGGTTATTTCTTTCCTCTCTATCCCCTGCTCTCAGTCTATAAAATAATCAAGCCTCTTGCCCACCAAGCAAGACTCCTTTATTTGAACAGGGCTATGGGTGAAGAATTCAGTTGGCTGAAGAAGAAGAAAGCTTGTCCATTCACTTTCTAACTGGTGTTTCTGTTTCTTGTTCTTTCTTTTCTTTTTATTTTTTTAGACAGAGTCATTACTATGTAGCCCAGGCAGGCCTCAAACTTGCCATCATTTTGTCTAAGCCTCCTGAGTGCTGGAATTCACAGGAGCTCACCCTCGTGCTAGACTTGTTTATAGGTTTTTTTGTCTTGACATACACATTAAATGCTGTGCACATAGTATTCCTTCTCCAAATTCCCCACTTTGAAGTCTAGTCTATTTCCCACAGTCATAATTCAAATCAAGCATATGCAAAGCCCAAAACTTTTCCAAATCCCAGAAACATTAAAAACTGCCTCTTTGTATGCCTGTCATGTGCTACAAAGCCACACAAATTATGAGAACATTGTTGGAAGTGTGTTGGAGGAGCTCTGGAAAGGTTTCTCCAGTTAAGAGCTAGTAAATAGAAATTAATTCTGTACGATTCATAATTACTAATTTGATACATGTACAAAGTCATTGATACTCTATTAATGTGATTTTTCTTATTCTTTTATTCTAACAAATATAAAATGAGTAAGAATACAAGTTTTAAGCCAGGTATAGCCATGTATATTTGTAATCTTAGCACTCAGGAGGCTAAGGCAGGAAGATTATGAGTTCAAGGCCAGCCTGGATTATACAGTGAGACACTATCTCAAAAAATAAAAATAAGGGGCTCAGTGGTAGAGCACTTGCCTTGCATGCATGAGGCCCTGGGTTCAATTCCTCAGCACCACATAAGCAGAAAAGGCCAGAAGTGGCGCTGTGGCTCAAGTGGTAGAGCGCTAGCCTTGAGCTGAAGAGCTGAGGGA